GGGTGGGCGGAAGGGGAGGGAGCGGGAGCCCGGACTTAGGAAAATTTCGAAGAGAGAGAGCGACAGAGAGAGCCAGAAAGCAGGGAGTGTGGAAAAAGCGAGGCGAGCACGAAGCAAAGCACTGAGCAACCGAAAAGGAAAATGTGTCCACACACGCACACGAACACTAAGACAACTCCACACGACACGGCGATGGTGGCGGCTGGCGGGGTCGGGGCGGGGGCGGGGCGGGGCGGCCTAGATGAGCCGCTCCTCGCGGGCCCGGCGCCGGCCGCCATGGGCCGAGCCGAAGGCACCGCCGGGCCCGGAGCGCGCGCGGCCCCTGCGCCTGGCGCGGCCGCTCAGGTAGGAGAAGAAGGCGCAGCCCAGGAACACTCGGAAGCAGCAGGTCGCCCCGAACACGAAGCCGCAGCCGCGGCCCTGCTCCGTGCGCTGCTGCAGCAGGAAGTTGAGCACCCACGAGGGGCTGCGCACCGAGAAGACCAGGAAGACCACGAGGGGCAGGTGGGCGCTCAGCGCGCCAGCCTTGGCCGGCCCGGGCCGCCACACGATGCCCCCGACGCGGGGTGCGGCGTAGTAGGCGTCGTCCGAGTCCGAGTCCGAGTCCCACTCGGCCCAGGCCCTACTCGTGCCCCCTGTGGCGGCGCCCTCGGCGCCCCCGGCGGCGCCCTCCTCGGCGCCCTCGTCTCCGGCGGCGGCGCTGGCGGTGGCGGCGGCGCCCTCGGGGCCTCGGAACTGCTCCCGCGCTTCTGGCAACTTCTTCATCTTCTTCCTCAGCATCTTCTCCAACTTCTTCATCTCCTTCTCCCGCTTCTTCTCTTCTTTTCGCCTCTGCTCCAGCAGCTTCTTCTCCATCTTCCTGCGCTCCTTGTCGCTCAGGAACTTCTCGGGGGGCGTCTCCCGTGCCGGGGGCTTGGCGGGCTTGGCGCTCTTGGCGGTCTTCTCGGGGTCCCCGCTCTTCCTCGGGGCGATGGGCTCTTTCGGTTCTGCCAGTGCGGCGGCAGCCGCGACAGCTTCGGCAGCCACCTCTGCAGCCGCCGCGGCCGCCCTCTTCTCGCTCTCTGCGGCCGCTCGGGCTTTGAGCTTCATGGCCATCTTCAGCATGGTGACCCGGCCACCTCGGGGAGCCTGGCTCCTCGCGCCTGGCCCGGGCGCCCTGCTTGCCCCCGGCCTTGGGCTGTCCGGCTCCCGTGCGCCCCGTGTCGGGGTGGTGGTGGGGTCAGCTGCGGTCCCGCTGCTCGGCTCCCGGGTGCTGCCCGGACCTGGGGCTCCTGGGCTGGCTGCCTAAGAGTTAGCGTCAAAGAGGATGAGCAAACGAAAATAAGAGCGAAAACAAACCAAAAAGCACCCAACAACAGCGAGAAATCAAAAAGCACCAAGAAATGTCACACAACTCAAAAAAGAAAAGTGCAAAGGCGCGATGGCACGAGTTTGCTGTTACCCTCGGGCGCTCCGCAGTTAGGTCTTGGGCACGCACGCCAATGGAGAGGAGAAGAGAGAAAGAGAGAAGTGGGGTTGCCGGGGCGCGAGCCGGGTGTCCCTGCCTGTCCCAGCCGTGGCTCTTGCCCGTGCCGGGTGGCTCGCACTTCCGCGGGTGCCCTGCGCTCCCCGACTTACATGTGAGTGAGGTGCACTCACACGCAAGGCAGTGCCTGCCTGCCGGCCGCCCGCGCCGCCCCGAGCCGCGCCGGGACAGGGGTTCGCTCGCCGCGGTGCCGCAGCCCGGAGCCGGAGAGCGGGCAATGCACCCGGCCACCACCTGACGCAGCCCGCTCCGCGGTGCCGACGCGACTGAGCGTCCCCGCCGGGGAGCAGCGCTTTCTACCCGGCCTGATGACGCCCCAGCCTCTTCAGAGGACCGACCCATAGCAGCGGCCCCTATAAACCGAAGGGGAAGCCCGAAAAATCGGCCCGTGCAGGACGCGGCCAAAAGCGCCGCGCCGCAGCCCCGGGGTGTGCGCCGGTGTGGGGGTGACGCGGGTGTGGGCAGGGGGCGCTCCGGGCGGCGTGGGGGGGAGTGCGGGCTCGCCCAAGACGGTGGGCGCCCGACCCCGCCTCCCAGACCTGCCTCCCAATTTTCGGTGAGTGGTGTAGCCCTGGGCGGCGTGCAAAGTGTGCGACGGCGGCGCTTACCCCTGCTGTGCGCCTCCTTACCTCCGGCTTCCCGGTTAGCGCACGCACGCGGGACCGTCACCCACCCCGCCCTCCCGGTGGTGGCAGTGGCGCGTGCCCGCGGAGGCAGGTGTCAGCAGAGCCTAACTAATCGCGACGCCCGCCCGCCTGGACGGGGCTTCAGATCTTCGGGCCAGAAGCCCTATGTGAGTGCAAAACTGCATTTCTAGAAGCAGGCGGGCAACATGGCACTCAGGAGCGGTGGCCAGGCGCGGAGTCAGTGCATGCGTTGTCCTCCCTGGTGGGAGTGGTGGTGGCCCAGCCTGGGCGCCAGGAGGGGCTGTGGAAGAGAGGGAAAATAGTTTATTAAACTTGAAGTTGTTTAAAGATTGTTTCGAAAGTGTCCCGCCACCTCTCTGGTCTCCCACTAGGATGTAGAGAGCACGAGGCAGGGGCGAGGCTCCAAGTTTGCAACCAACTTGCCCCTTGCTCACTGTTCCTGTTGCCTTACTTTTGCTTGGGTCACCTGTTGCTCTCCAGGTATCTGCTTGGGGATCATTTGTTCATTCATTCATTCAATCAGCATCTCTTTGGATTAGCCCACTCTGTGCCCAGGTGAGCTTTGTGCCCAAGTGGCCTGCTTTGAGTAGGACACAGGCCTGTGTTCTATGCAAGTCAACCCAGTTCTGCAAAGTAATCACAGACTTTTTCCAAGTTTAACTTTCTTTGACTTCTCAACAGATTTAAGAGAATCTGAGATGGGGGTGGAGGGGCAGCCGGCCTATAAATGCAAACATACCAACCATTCCCCAGGGTGCCTGGAAATTGTTGGATGCTTCCAGAGGCTCACGGTTTTGAGTTAGCTTTGCAAACAGAGAAGACACCACTAACCACTCAACAGGACTATTGAGCTCCTCCTTTCCCTCCAGTTTGCTCAGCTCAAAGTAAGACAAGGTGTGACAGAGATGTTGTGTGCTATTTTTCTAGACCCCTTCAGTTATGCCTCTAACCTTCATTCTACAAGGCATTCTTTTAAATGAGTCTGAAAGGACAACAGAGAGCAATTCAAAGTCACCGAAGTATTCTTGGGATTAAGAACAGGAAGCCAAGCCTAGGAGTCAGACCCTCACCTGCAGACCTGCCCCCTGTCACCTGGAAATATGGGGCTAGGAAGTTGCCCCTCTGCTTAGGACCTCTCTTCCATACAAGACTGTACCTACTTCTGAAAACAGTGCAGAGGAGCTCCTGCTCTAGATTGATGCTTTCCTCCTAAGAAGAAGTGGATAAAAATATTTAACTGATGCCCCAAAACAGACTTGGCAGGGAGGCCTTCCATCAATGATTCTAGAGCTCTTTGGAGGGATCGTGACTCATTCCTGTTCTCCAACTCAATTAGCGCCTACTTAAAGACAGGCTGAGGTTTTACATATTTATATATTAAATAAAAGCGCTTTAGTTGAATTTGAGTCATTATCAATTGTCATTTTTAAAAATTGGTAAAAGACTTACAAGAGGGAGGAACTGCCCAGAAATTTTTGTTATGCTCCACTTATTTAAACATACCTTGCTGCTTCTAATGTGGCAAAGCACAAATACATTGTAGTTAAAAGGTACAAGGTAAATAGTAACCAATACAACTTTGACACTTCTGCCAGTAGCTACACAGTTCTACAATGAATATAGCGAAGAAGAGTCTCCTTATTTGGAAGTCCCTGAGTTGGGTTACTGGGTTCCCTTTTAGATAAATATCACACCTGAACTTTAAAAGGAGTGAAACTGTCCCATGGCATACACTGACACATGTTCTAGGCAGGCACAATCGGGGCCATTGTCCTGGAAATGTGTAACATAAGGTCAGCTTATATTTCTTTTAACTCCTAACCTGGCAGGCTAGCCTTAAAAAACAAAATTTATGAAGTGTAGGTTTTGCTTCTATTTTATTATGACTAACTGTAGATCAACAAAGAAAGCATTTACTTTGTAAATAAATGGCAGCAGGTGGAATCAAGAGTTTACAGGTAAGCAGTGACACCAAGGGCTCTGAAACACAAGCTGGGTTGTGGTCTGTTTGGTTTTCTTGTTTTCACTGGACACAAAGTGAAAGAAGAGATTTTACTTAATTGCTATGGGGAGCTGATAGCATCTACAGTTTTTGGCCTAGCATTTGACCTACCTGGGCCTTAAAAGTTATAATCTTAAAAGAACTTTCCCACTTGGAGATTAACATGTGTGACCACATCATATGAATTAGTATTGAATAGGTTATTGCTAGTTTTAAGGACCTAGTTCATTCCATGCCAGTAGAACAATTCATCATCACTCTTAGAACATCAACACTAGAGACTTTTTGGTTGTGGATGGGGCCTTCATTTGGCTCAGAAGCAATGGAGGTTATGGAACCCTCAGGCTGCACAAAGGGGTCAAGGGCCAAAATGTCCTGGATATAAACTACTCAGGCAGGGCCCAGGTGACTTGCTTTATGCCGCAGCCAGCAGGTTGGGATGCTAAGCATCCCTACTCTAAAACACTGGGTCACCTGGAGATACAACTGAAACAGGTGGTGTCACAGATCTCACAGACAGATGGCCTAGCAACATTTCTTTCTGATATTCTTTTTTTTTTCAACAATGGGTGAACTTAGAAGTTGGGGCTTAAATTTTGTGGTCTCGTAATTTTCACATCTGTGGATGGTGTTTGTAACCCTTGGCTCTTCTTCATCTTCCTTTTGGAGTAAGAATGCCTCATCTGGGCTGGTGAGATAGCTCAGCAGACTAAGTGCCTGCTTAGGCAAGAGCAGGGGCCAGGTTCAATCCCCAGCACCACATGCTGCACCGGCCTTGCCCCTGGGGCGCACTGAGCTGGCCACCAAAACCAGGCGTGGTGGCGCACACCTGTAATCCCAGCACTGGGGAGGCTGAAAACAGGAGGATCACCACGAGTCCAAGCTGCATAGTGAGACCCTGTACCAAATACATTAAAAAAAAAAAAAAGCCTTGTCTGCTTTAGAAGCAATACAATTGCTACACGTTAGAATCTTGAATTTAGTATACTTAATGATGTAATTCAGGTTTTGGACACAAGTGTTCTCCTTGGCCTTTCATTAGTTGGGGTCATTGTAAGCTATTTTCCAAGAGCTCAGAGAAAATATAATTATAATATTATTTTAATAGCCTAGGAAACAATAAATAGGTTTCCACTGAAACAGAAACTTTAGCTTTAGTATTTAATGCTATCACACTGCTTTCTGTCTTCAAAGCACAATCTGCACTTTAATTAGCTAGAACAACCGACTGAAACTGTTACTGCAAATAAATGTTATTTGAAGCCTGTACTGATTAGAAGACATGAAAGCAGGTACTGTACAAAACAGTTTTCACTAGTAGTTGGCCCCTATAAGAAGGTTCTATTACTTCAGACCATAAAAGTTCTTTAAAATCTAATGTTGTGCTCACCTAAGATATTGTTTTTCTTGTCATATTCACCAGTTAGTAACTTCAGCCACAAATTAAGTCTGAACTTGCATTCAAAAGTTAACATGTGTGATGTTAAACTTCATCTCAGAAGACCTAAGAACTACTGGCGAATCAACTACTTGGCCACATAAAATGTCCCTATTTAATTTTCATCAACTAATTTAATAATGATGTGTCTTTAATTTAGAATATGTTGTCCCTCTGGTGCAGCCTGAATGTGGAAGTGCACTGCCCAAGTGCACTGGACCCAGCTGCTGCAGTTGGGGGCTTGGCGCTGCTCTTTGTGCGTCCACTCAATCCCATTGCATGCAACTTGAAGCAAACTGGGACTTTTTGTCACTTTCACAGATTGCTCCTGACTCTGATGGGCAGGCGCCACCTATGAGAAATAGCCTGTGGTCTCTACAGAAGCCAGATTCCCAGCGTCCTCGGTACCTTTCCCAGCATTGCCCTGCAAGCTGCAGAGTAGGCAGAAGGTGACTTTCAGCAAAACCCCCATCTACCCTACGTGTGGGGAGACTACGTGCGTGGGCGTCCTCTTAAATCCTAAACCTAAAAAACACGATGTACACATTACCTTTGGTTGAAGATTCTACAGAGACAAACAACCTGGATAAGAAGTAGGGCAGAGAAACATACCCCAGAGCAAACCAAAGGGAGGCCCTTCTGCACAGCACAGCATCAGCACAAATGATTAACTCTAAAACTAAAGGTAAAGTCCACAAGGAGGACCGAGTCAGCCCCATTCGCTTATGGACACATCCGTATCAACAACAGCCCCATGGCCTGCTTAATGGAAATCTTAATTGAGTAGAAGAATAGTAAAGGGTTCCATGCTCTACAGCAGCAAAATTTATCTTCCTAAGCTAAAACGTCCTCCACTTCCCTTGTGTGTGTGTGTG